GTGTATTTTATGCCCAGAAACAGCATAGAGAACTTCTAGAAAGTATAAAACGCTCTGGGAAAGACCAAAGAAAAACCATGGTCAGCACTTGAGTGTCATACATTAATTTGCTTGTCTGGGACATTTTTCCTTTCTGAGTAACTGGAGGAGAGAGGAAATAAGGATGAAAAGAAAAACAAGAGGAAGTAACAAAAGAAGCCTTTCCACAGGAAAGACTTTATGAACTAAAGTCTTGAACGCAATCCTTTCATCTTTCTCAAAATTTATGGAGTTTCTGAAGGCAAGCTTTTTTTTTTTTAAGTGGATGCCACTCCTGCTTCCAAGCCTGTTTTATTCCGGCCTTTCTGCTCATCTTCCCAGCCTGGAAATAGCCCCAGATTGGCAGCCAAAACCCTTTTTTAAAATATGAGATGAAATCCAATCTGTTTGAATTAATAGGCTTTCTTAAACATATTTTCCATAAGAAGGAAAGCTGATTGCTTGTATGGGTATGATAATAATATTAATAACTGCATCAGCCACCTCCATCAAAGATGTACTTATACTGCCAATGCAGCATCTTAACACTCAGTAACTGAAGATCCACTCCAGATTTCTTGTATCACTCTCTGAATATGAACTTCAGCCAAGACTGAAGTTTAGGATATACTTTCCTAGTCCATTTACATCTGTAATAACACACTGTGAATATTCTCCTAAATGGTGGTATTCTCTGCTTCTCATGTTTCAGTCCACAAAGTAAGGTTAAATTTTTATCTTTCATCTAAACTCTTAATTACTTTTATCCACTGACAAGGTAAAAACAACAAAGGATACTCTAGTTAATAAGTCATCAACTAAAACTTTTCACTGGTGAAAGATTTGTTCTGGTTAATAAATGTTTTATAATTTCCTCTTCTTCTTTAGTCAGTAAGAATTTTGCTTAATAAGTGCATGTTGTTCAGGCCCAAAGGTCAAAATAACTCTAGTCGACTTTTTCAACAAATCGATGTAAGCTGTCACAGAAAATCTAGGGCCTGGGGTGGCTGGTAAGAGCCAGAATGTGAGCACTCACAAGTTGTTTCTGGACTAGTTTATGTGCAGTGATTGTCAAAAATTCTCAAAGATGCCAGATGCCCAAATTAGAATGTAACAGAACAGCTATCTAAAACAGGATCTTCTGGTAAGGGTGTCTGAGCAGGATCCCACCTGGTAAACAAGCCACTACGAAATTATTTATTCCAAAATGCTGTAAAATAGGGAAACATCATTTTCATTTCCCTCAACTTTTGCTCATTTCCATAGAAGAACTCCGAATTTTAGGCCAATTTCTTCTTTTCATCATGGGAAGAATTCTACATATCCAAGAGTTACTGAAAACATTTGGTATTTCAAATTTTCAAATATTCCCAGTGTTACCTGAAGTCAGGCAATGAACAGGTTTGAAGATAAATTGCATCATATTACCCACATATTTTCTGGATAAAATTGTTGTTCAGTTTTAGAAAATACTTTTAGAACAAAAGAACACACAAACAACAAAACAAAGGGAAAAGAATATTTAAGTTTACTAAGTGACTTGTAATCGGGTTAAATGCAGTTTTATCTTATCATCATGTTTTCTTGATGAGGAAACTTCTGTTCTTTTTTTAGATTTTCAGAATTGCTTTTCCTGACAGAAACATCAAAACTAAGAACCCTGAACTGTAAACTTGTCCTTTGTCCTACTTGTTTACTAGGCTTATCAGGGCACACATGGGATGGCAATGTGATTCCAAGATAAAAACCCCAAAGATATAATTAGATGTTTTTCCGAGAAATATTGGTCAATGCTATGAAAATGTATTTGTGATTTTCTCCTCATATTTAAAGCTCTGGCCCCACAAGTTCTTATCATTTAATCCTTTTCTGAGGGTTGGATTAGAACACTAACTTGTTACTGAAGAAAAATATATATGCTTTTTGGTAACCAATATTGAAAATACAGATCTTACTTAAAATTCCATGGTGCTTTAATTAAGCTTTATACAAACTTTGGTGACATCTCATTAAATACACTTTATATATCAATAATACACTCTTGAAAAATTTAAGAGTATACATATGATGATAAAGAATGAATTTTAAACTTCTGAATCTAAACAAGTGATAAAAAATAGATTCAAAGCCTCTACAATATATTTACTGGTGCATTGCATTCAATTCTGAGCAAAGCATATATAAAGACAAATGCAGGAAACACAAATGTGCATCAACTGCTGTTTTACAGACAAAAAGCAGCTGTGAAAGCATCTTCCAAGTTTTCTACTGAACTCCATCTTTGCTAGAGTGAGCAAAAATAATAGTTTTGCAAAATTATATCTTCTACTGCCACCTGCTGGAATGTGATAGTAAATTATTTTTAAAATGTTGACTAACAAAATCCAGATTAAAGCAGAATGCTTGGACTTTTAATAGAAGAATGATTTTTGGATTATTGCCTATCTATGTTTGAAAAACAAACTCCAGAAATAAAGAGGCAATACCTAACTTGATCATATTTTTCTGACTGCTGACTCATTGATCTATCTCTACTCTATCACAATATTCCAAAAGGAAGTCCAGGCCTAGCACATTGCTATCCTTCCCTTATGCACAGAAGCCATTCAGTGTGGTCCTAGGTCAGCAATAAAGATTAGAAACTCAATGGTCTTGAAAGACATGTGTCTTGAAGTGCTCACTATGCAAATACTCTTGGTAGCTAACAAGGTTTTAGGTACTGAGTCAAAGAATTATAGTTCAAACCTCGATTTTTTCTTTTTTTAAAAAGTCTCCCTAGAGAATATTTAAACACTAAAGATGGAAGACTGCAAATGAATAAACCAAGGCAAAACCTGGAATAACTAGCATTGGCAAGATTCTGTAATTACAAAATTAATTACAACAAGAAATAGGACTTTAAAATTCAGAAAGAGCAGGCCCACATTATTGTATTCTCTTATTCATTGGCACAGAGTTTGAATTCATAGTTGGCCTTCCATTTGGTTTCCAGGCTGCAAATCCCTCAGAAGGAGATTGTCCTTCTTTCTTCTGCCGAACCATTGGTGGATTTGAACCTCCAGAGAAGAGTTACCTTTGCATTTTGCACGCAACTCATTACAGACTGGTCCATCAGAGAGCTCACTCACATTATTGTAGTCTGTTTCTTTTTTTTTTTTCTTTTTAAGAGGCTGAAAATTTCTAAATACCATTTATAAAAAGTTCAGGAAAAATATTCTTTTCAGAGGTATTTTTAAAATAAAAATTAATATGTAAACCATTGTCAGAAAACAGTTCTTTCTACCAACAATATACCAATTCTCCCTGCCAAGAATAAACTTTAGAAATGATTTTTTAGAAATTGCAGGTTATAAATCACACATTATAGGATTTTCATAGTATACTAGCATCATATACGCTAAAAATATACCAAAGAACATGGTTATGACTAACAATTTTCTCCAAAATGAATGTTAGTACAATGTGAAGCAGAAGGCAATGACCCAACATAAAAACCCTGGGTCTTTTTCACACATCTCTAGACATGAGCAAATTTGTCTGCTAGGACACAGAGGGGTTGTCTGTAATTCTCCAGTGCTATAATTAAGTCTTGTACAAATTCTACTGCCAGAAAATCACCAGAGTGGGTGGTGAATACAGCCAAGTAAACTCTAATTATGGAAGGCGGGTTTTCTAAGATCTTACATACATGAAGCAAAGGCAAGATCAGACAGTTAAGACAGGTTACCAAAGCAATTTAAACAGCATCGTTCAAGTCAGTGTAAGCGCCCTTTCCACAATGAGTAGTTTAAAAATGCAATCTGGAGCCTTCTCCTTGGAATCCAGCACTTATTTTGTTCCCTGAAAAGTAGTTATGAAATTTGCATATGTCATTGGAACAGAAGAGGAAAAGTCCCAGCTCGTGTTCCATTTTCTCTCTTGGGTTTGCCACTCACTGTTATTTTTTAAGGTTTTTTCCAGAGTTGAATGAACTATATTTTAGCATTCTAAAGGAGAGTGTGCAAAATCATAACCTCAGCAAAATCAATCTACATGTGTAGCACAAGCCCAGGTAGCCAATATCCAATCGGGAAACAGAACATGTTCTGTACTCTAGAAGTGTTTCTCCACATCCAAGAAATAGCACTAAGTAATATATATCATTTTCACAGTGTAGCATATTCTTATTGTTTGGTTAACTACAGCCTTTAAAAAATTATACTTTTCCCTTTTGTTCATAAAAATATATCTTCCTAAAAATTCTCTTCTTTCTCCTTGTTAACCAACTGATTAAGCCTTACCCAATGAAGACCCAGTTCAGACTTTACCTACTTCATGAATACTTTCCTGCCCTTCAGAAAAAAATGAACTTTCTTCAATTACATTCACATTGCAGTTTGTAAACAGTCTATGCCCACACTTATCACACTGCATTGTATTTATTTCTATGTCCATCTACTGTTCTAAATTGTGAGAAATTAATGAACAGAAAAGATAATTCATTTACATTTTTGCTTCATAGACATTATTTACATTATGTACCAACACACAGCTGAGTCACTTTATTTACAAAGGCAGCTGCACAATTTTTCCGAAGAGAATGCTTCACCAACTGCATTACATATTATTAAATAAAGTAAAATACTTAATTCAGGATGTTTCAAGCTACCACTTTAGAATACCTCTACATAAAGAATTAAGGCAATAAATGAAGTGTATCTTAGTTGGCAATAGTAGGTTTTGCAATAAGAAGTTTTTGTGTTTGTAATCTATAATATTAGGTAAATCTTTGCAGGAGGAAATTCACAAGTATATATTTGGGTCTGATATACTAATTTTTCTCATATACCCTCCCACCCCATCCTCTTCCATAGCAAAGCTAAACAAAACGTTTATTCTAACTAGGTTGAGATAAAGCTTTACTTGTACATTCAGTTCAAGGATCACTGATGAAGAAACATGAACATCTCATAACAAGTCAGAAAATGCCAGAGCACTCCTACCTGTGTACCTAAGCTGGCTGCCATCATGTGAGTCAGAAGTTTAGCTGCAAACATGGAGTACCTGGCACAGAAGATATGAGAAAGAACAGCCAAGCAAAGACCTGTAGAAACAAACAAACAAATAAAAAACTCCTCCAGGTGTAGTTTTACAATCCATGAACAAACAGTATCATATCAAAAATCTGTGGGCTAGGTAAGTTTGCACCTTCTAGTCCACCCCACATAGTGCATTCATTATCTGTATAAAAATTAGGCTGCAATTTTAGTTTACTTCATTTTTTAGACACAAAATTTTCTTTTGTATCAATTAAATTAAAAAGATAGGTTTAATTTTACAATATCTAAATGATCATTTCTTGACTAAAGGAACTACAAATTGAGAACATTTTTCACTAGGCAGTTGGAGGTCTATGCTTACATAATTCCAGTTTTACCGTTTAAGAAAAGAATGAAACGCCAGTTCAATTTTCAAAGAACAGGTGATTTGGCTAAATATAGATGTTTAAGAGGACAATAAATCTTTTTCAACATAAAATTGTGAATGATGCTACCAAAATTCAGAATTCATAATTTTCCCTTTTTTAGCATCCAAGAAATTAAAAGACATATTGAGTTGGGGAAGTTTGCTGTCAGAGACTTCTCCAGAGTACTAAAAAATAATGATGTCAGTCTGGAGGCTAAGGTGCACCTGGTACAGGCCATAGTCTTTGCAATCACTTGCTATGCTTCAGAGAGTTGGACAATGACTAGGGATGATAGAAGGAGAATGGATGCCTTTGAGCTGTGGTGTTGGAGTAGTAAATATACCATGGACTGCTAAGAGAATAAGCATGTTCATCCTGGAGAGGGTGAAGCCAGGCTGCTACTTGAAGGCAAGGATTCTGAAGCTTCATCTGACATACTTTGGACATGTTGCAAGGAGGGACCAGTCCTTGGAGAGAGATGTCATGCTTCGGAGGGTGGAGAGACAACGCAGGATAGGAAGACCCTTAATGAGATGGATTGATTTGGTGACTGGGGTAATGGGAGTAGGTGTGTCAGAGACAATAAGATTGGCAAAGAATAGAGCAGGGTTTAAGGCTGTTGTATATAAGATTGCTAGGAGTCTAAGGTGACTCTATGCCACATAACAACAAGTTATATAATTATGGCAGTGGAAGTTAAGATTTTAAATGCAACCTTATGTATGTGTTGTTGTGTATTATCAAGTTGAAACCATTCCATGAGTGATACTTTGGCGGACGGGTTTTCAGAAGCAGTTAATCACATGGGAGGAGATCAGCCATCTTTCTCCCATGGAGCAGCTGATGGATTTGAACCATGTGCCTAACAGGACTGCAGGGCACCTTCTTACTAGGCCACCTGAGCTCCCCTCCCCGCCTATGTACTAGGTGCCCAATTGGGAACAAAGTGGTTCTTTAATCCTGCTATGATTTTTAACCTAAATATCTTTATTTCTAAGTGGTGTAAAAAAAATCACTTATTTTTAAATCTATATTAATTCAGCAGTTTATATTATTTCAGGGGATTAATTAAAATTCCATCTATTGTCTAAAAGTAACTTATTTTCCAGTTCATGTAAATGCCTTTAATGTTAGTTTTTAAACTCTGAATTTTTAATGATTTAAAAAACCATTTAGAAATTAAACTTTTAGAATTTAAATTTAGTACATAAAGCAGGAAAAATGATCCTATTTAATCCATTCACTTTTCACATACATGTCTTATTCCATTCTTTTTGTTGTTGCTGTGTACAGTCAAGTTGGAACAGACCCATAGCTGACCCTCCAGAGAGTTTTCAGAGGCAGTTAATTACAAGGGAGGAGACTGACCCAACCTTCTGCTGCAGAGCAACTTGTGGCTTGAACTGAGTACCTCTGAGACTGCAGTACAGCTTCTTGCTAGTAGGCCACCTGCCACTCCCCATTCTCTTTGTTGTTGTTGTTATATGCCTTCGAGTCGTTTGCAACTCATAGCGACCCTACGTACAACAGCCCTAAACCCTGCTCTATTCTGTGCCAATCACATTGCCTCTGACACACCCATCCCGATGACCCCAGTCACTGAATCAATCCACCTCATAGAGGGCCTTCCCCTCCTGCAGTGTCCCTCCACCCTACCAAGCATTATGTCCCTCTCCAAGGACCTGTTTCTCCTTACAACATGTCCAAAGTATGTCAGACGAAGGCCCAGAATCCTTGCCTCCAAGGAGCAGCCTGGTTTAACCCTCTCCAGGATGAACATGTTTGTTTTCTTGGCAGCCCATGGTGCATTCAATACTCTTCTCCAGCACCACAGTTCAAAGGCATCAATTCTCCTTCTATCCTCCCTAGTCATTGTCCAGTTCTCTGCCGCATAACAAGTGATTGCAAAGACCATGGCCTGTATCAGGCGCAGCTTAGTCTCCAGAGAGACACCGCTGCTCTTGAGTACTTTAGAGAAGTTCCTAACAGCAGACTTTCCCATCGCAATACGTTTTTGATTTCCTGGCTGCTGGTGCCAAGAGTGTTGACCGTGGAGCCGAGCAAACTGAAGCTGTGAACAATCTCAATCTCTTCGCCATCCATTCTGATGCTACCAATTGGTCCATTCTCTTTAGCAGTATTATATTATCTAAAAATTATCAAGACAAAACAAGTGACACCTGCATGTTGCCTTACCATATACTTTGCATACACTGTCTAATTCAATTACACAAATGCCTCCTTGGGGGGGAAAGAGGCATTGCATTTACTGAATCATTCTCCTTTCTTTTCTTCTGTCTCCAAGTCATATTTTAAAACAAACAGTGTATGTTGACACAAGTGGATTGGGCATCTACAAAAGGCTCTCAAAGGGCCTGATGTCTATCTTTTTATACAGAAATGTCCCCATAATTTCTTAAGTAAAAATTTTTCAATTATAACTTCATTTTTAGTATTCTTAAAATTTATAATTGAGTATAAGTTTGCTTTTCCCAATCATTCATGCATATTTGGCTCCATAACATCAACTCTAATAAACACAACATCTGATTTCAGGTTCATTCTGTATTATCTTCCCCTTCCATCATCTCAGTAAGTTTTTATTATTTATTAATTAATTTTGTATTCCAACCTCCTCCCCTCCCTGGTAACCAGACTAGAAGGATTTGCTCTGTATTTCTCATCTTCAAATTTTAATATAGCACACAACTCCACAGGAGGGAAGGCTTTACATTAGTTAACTTTCAGTCTAGAAATTTGGCCAAGACATCTGGAGCAACATATTTTAGGAAGGCTAACAGGAAGGGCTCTGATAGAGGTGTGGAGGTCCTCGGGCTGCCTCCAAAATCCACCTACATAGGTACAAGGTGTTTTAATCAGAAACAGCAGAACTCTGCTTGATTTTGTACCTTTCTTTAGGCAGTCTATAAATTACTGGAGTTAAACTCAGAGCTCACTAATACATACCAGAGTTTCCTAAATTGTGAAAACAAGCTTTTATCTAAGGGGAGTGTGTGTGTGTGTGTGTGTGTGTGTGTGTGTGTGTGTGTGAAAGAGAGGCAGAGAGATATTTAAAAGCAGGGTCATGGAATATTCTTCATGAGTCACTGGATCACAAATATGTGCTTTATTCTAAGTTGGTGTGGTAAGAAATTAGTACCGGGCAAAGGAGAAATATCCATAACTCAACTGTTTTCTAGTTCAAAGGAGAGCTTATTCTTAGCTATTTCTCTTAATTTGATAATATCTCTTCACGTTCCATTAACAGTCACTTAATTGTACTAATTAATCTTTTTTTAATGGATTGAATTGTGTCCCTCAAAAATATATGTTGTCTCAACCTCTAGGTCTAAGTTTGTAATGTGTGCATGTGAGTTGTGTATCATCGAATCAAAAGTACCCATAGCTGACTCTCCAGCTGGTTTTCAGAGGCAGTTAATCACACATGAAGAGACTGCCCATCTTTCTCCTGTGGAGCAGCTGGTGGCCTCAAACTGTGTGCCTTTGGGATTGCAGCACAGCTTCTTGCCACTAGGCCACCAGAGCTCCCAATTTTATAATTCTATTTGGGAATGGTTTGTCTATGCTATGCTAACGAGACAGGATTAGCACCAGTTTTATGTTGAATCCATCTCTTTAAAGATCTAAAAGGAGATTAAACAAGCAGCAAAAAGAGAAGTGGGTAAATAGATGCCAAGACACAGGGAGACTTCCAGTGTACCAGGAAGTAGAAGTTGAAGAAACAAAGGTCATCCTTCAGCGCTGACAGAGAGAAGGCCTTCACCTGGACCTGGCTGCCTGGATTTGGACTTCTAGCTCTCTACACTGTAAGAAACTGATTTTCTGGTAAAGGTACTCATTTGTAGTTTTTCTCTTTTAGCAACATTACATAAGTAAAATGAATTTGGTGCTGACAAGTAGGAGTAGTGTAACATGGAAGTGGTTTTGGAATCAGATAATGGAGGAATTTTTAAGTGGCATGTTGAATTGTCAACTAAAAGGTCAGCTGCTTTGAGAGATAAAAATGAAGCAGTTTGCTTCCTTAAAGATTTATTGCATTGGAAGCACTAAGAGGCACTTAGTTCTATTCTGTCCCACAAGGTCCAAATGTGCCAGAATCTACTTATTGGTGGTGGTTTTATTTTATGACTTTTTAAACAGAAAAGCAGGAGTGGCATCCACTTCCTAAACAACATGCCTCTGGAAACATTATGAACTTTGAGAAATGATGATAGCTATAGAAAGGCTTCAAGTCTTTTGTCCATAGGGTCCTTATGTGTCATGCTCGACTTGACAGCAATCAACAACAACAACAATCAGAAAAAGTTAGATTGCCTTCAAGAGACTATTGATAAAATTATAGTTGTTCTTGATACGTACCAGTGAACTGGAATAGACCCATGGCTGACTCTCCATCGTGTTTTCAGAGGAGGTCTGAAAGGACTGGGTAATGATGAGCAAGATCCAATGGTGAATGACTTTATAAAACATAAGGCATGGGAATGACTGGATGGAACACAATATGAATGAATAGTGTGAAACACAACATATATGAACTTTGTATGCAAACCAATTTAAAATAAAATAATAGAGAAAAAAGATGAACGTAAAAATGAATTTTGCAAAATTAAAACAAATATTTGGAAAATTCAGTTGTACAAACTAAGGACAGAATGTTCACCAAGGTTGTGGCTGTACAGTATTTTGTCAAAGAGACTAAGCCTGTGATGGTTGGGTCTAATCAACTGCCATAACAGAAAGGCCATTAATTTAGACTGAAGGGGACAGAAAAGCAACAAATGAAAAGAGCATTATCTACCTCCTGGAATTCTACAGGCAGCAAATGGACCAAAAGTTCTGTTCCAAGAAAAGAAAGCTACCATCCCTAGTGTAGCTCAAACATCAGTTGGACATTGATGGTTTATGAAAGGTTTTCCAGCCAAAGAAAGATGGTGGAAACATTCTGGGTATCTATAAAGAATATTTTCATTGCTCTTAAGCAATGACTCAAGTGTTTTTCTTTGTGTAAGCCTGGACACTCTTGTGCATATCATGTTTGAAGAAGGACTATTTGCCCACAAAATCCTCAATGCATGCATTAAGGATCATCAACTTAAAGACCAAGAAAATCTCTAAATCAAAACATCGAAAATATCTGTATTTAATATTTGTAACAACTTATTCACAGAAGAAGTATGGGCAATCTCTTCCTGTACCAATTACCGCACCTGAAAACCCACTGGAGGGTCGGCTATGAGTTGGTTACAACTCAGTGGCACACAACAAGAAGAACATCACCTTAATAGATAAATTCATTTATTAGTCACAAGTGAGAAAATCGAGTTACAGAGGAATTAAGTAGTTTCCTTCAGGTCCCACAGCTAGTCTATGACAGAACTTGAACTTGAACCTAGGCCATCTGGCTGCATTATCCTATGCCTAGTTTTTGGTATCAGCACTCAGGAAATCCAGAGACATATTGCACTGGAAAAGCCTGCAGTCAAGGACCCTCCAAATCATTGAGGAGCAATTATGCAATTTTGAGGATTAAGATTCATCTGATTCAAGTCATGGTCTTTCCAATCACTTGCTATACATCTGAGAGCTGGAAATGTATAAGGATGACAGAAGAAGAATTGATACCTTAGAGATGTGATGTTGGAGTACTGAATACCCCATAGAACAAATAGTTATGTCTTGGAGAAAGTACTGAGAGAGTTCTGCTTGGAGGCAAAACTGATTAAGTTTCCTCTCACATAGTTTGAGTATGTTGTTAGGAGAGGCTATTCCTTGAAAAGGTACATTCTACTTATAAAAACGGATGGTCAGTGAAAGAGAGAAAGTCACTCAAGCAGATGAACTGACACATTAATTGCAGCAACGGACTCGAGTATGTCAGAGATAATGAGGATGGTACAAGCTAGGACAGGATTCAGATCTGTGATTCATCCAATTTATGAGTTGTACTCAACTCTACAGCATTAACAGCAACAACAGCGCTTGGTACCTTGTTCAGAGAATAGACATGGAAGTATGAGACTTAAAAAACAGATCTTAAAGAAGTCTAATACAGACTCTAAAGAACTCTTGTGGCACAGCCCATAGGGATTTGGGCTGTTAACCCAAAGGCCTTGTCTCTCTGATAGTTCAAATTCATTAGCCGTTCCATCAAAGAATAAAAATGGGCAGTCCCCTCCCTTGCGATTTATAGCCTCTGAAATCCGAGCAAAAGGTCAGCTTTGAGTCAGTTCTGTCTCTACGGCAGTAAGACATGAAGGAGAAGACACAATAATAACACTAATAAACAAAAAATAAATGAAAATAATTGTGTAGTAAATATGTAGTAATCCAGCCCGATATATCCAACCCTAATACAATGAAAGCTCCTATTGCTGCTAGAAGTAAAACCAGGGTACAATAAATGAAGGAAGAATTTGATTTTTGCATAGTGGCTGGCATCCTTAGGTATCCTGAGTTGTAGAATATAACCAACTCCTGCGTAGGTTTTTAAATGAAAATACAAAATATTTTATATGTATTATCTCACATAATCCTGACATTCTCACTTCAGAAATCAGAACATTATGAACTGTATCTTTTCCTATTATGTAGCTTTATCGCAAGAAGCCCTGGTAGTGTAGTACATTATGTACTATGTTGCTAACCAAAAGGTCGGTTATTCAAATCCACTAGCTGTTCCATGGAAAAAAGATGATTAGTTTCTTTCTATAAATATACCTTTGGAAATCAGATGGAGGGTTACTATGTATTGGATTCAACCTGATAGCATTGGGTAGAGGGTAGCTTTTATCTCACATTGTATTTTAGTTTCCTTTTAAGTTGGAACTATGTCTTATGTTTCATTGTGTCCTCAACACAAAGCAGGTCCTTCATAAAGAATTGTTGCATGAATTAAAGAATAAGGTAATAGGAAAACTTCTCTTACAACTGATGAATCACAGTAAGCTTGCATCTTGCATCTGTAAGGAAACTGGAAAAAAGTTTTTTATTCCGCTTTAAATAATTAATATTATTAACTCAAAACATGCTGCAACTGACCTGAAATGCATATAAATCCCGAAGAGAAAAATGCTTCATTGTATGAAGACAAATTGTCGGTCTGAGCGTAAACAGCATACACAGACATGTGTGAACAGGCGCATTCCACATAATCTGAAGTGTCCTCAACCACCTTGCAGAATTGACTGGCTGACAACCAGCTAGGGGAAAAAACACAATAGTCACTACTCCCTTTTCATCAGTAGTTAAGGATGATACGGCCTTTAAAGAAAAGGCAACTTGCTCAACTTAAGTGTTCTTTTCCCAAGACTTAAAACAGACCACATATTCAAGAAGATAAACAAGAGGGAATATCTTGCCCAGGACAAGACACAACCGATCCCACAAGATGCCTTATGAAGAAGCCTAAATACCAACCAAACCTGCAGGAGCATTCCAGGTGATGAAGAAGGTGGTCTTCCCAACAGAGCAATGCCGTGTATTTCTAACGTGACACAAAGACACTCAAGAGTTTCCAATAGAAGGCACTATTCTTTTTAAACTTCCCAATGACTAATAAGTACAGTGCTCGGTCTTCTTTTTCACAATGCCTTGTGTTTCTGAAGCAATTATTTCCATGCTTTTCTAAATTTTATTTTCTTACTTTTATGCTTTTTGTTGGAAAAGATCATTCAGGAGATTGGACTTTATGAGGAGGAATGTGGAATCAGGATTGGAGGAAGACTCATCAACAGCTTGTGTTATGCAGATGACACAATCATGCTTGCTGAAATAGTTGAGGACCTGAAGCTGCAGACCATCAAGGACTGTGGTCTTCAATATGGACTGAAGCTCTACATCAAGAAGACAAAGATTCTCACCACTGGGCCAATTGGCAGCACCATGATGGATGGAGAAGAGACAGATTGTTAACAACTTCAGCTAGCCAGGGTCCACAATCAACATTCTGGGCAGTAGCAGTGAGGAAATCAAAAGACAAATTGCATTAGGAAACTGCTGTCAGGGAGTCTCCAGAGTGGTAAAGAGCAATGGTATCAGCCTAAAGACTAAGGTGTACCTGATCCAGCCATTTTCTTTGCAATTACTTGCTATGCATCAGAGAGCTGGACAATGACTAAGGATGACAGAAGAAGAATCGATGCCTTTGAATTGTGCTGCTGGAGAATAGTATTAAACATAACATGAACTGCCATGAGAACAAACTCTATGACCTCTCCAAGGTAGTCCCTGGAGAGGGTGAAACGAAGTTGCACTTTGGAGGCAAGGATTTTAGAACTCTGTCTCACATTCTTTAGGCATGTTGACAGAAAGGATCATTCCTTGGAGAAGGACTTCATGCTTGAAAGGTTGGGGAGACAGTGTAGGAGAGGAAGACCCTGGATAAGATGGGTTGGCATAGTAACTAGAGTAATGGGGTAAGTGTGTTGAAGACAGTGGGACTGGCTCAGCATAGTGTAGGGTTCAAAGCTATTGTGCACAAGGTCACTATGAGCTGCAGTCGATTTCATGGCACATAACAACAACAATATGCTTTTCTAGTCTTAATGGCCTAGAGGTAAAAAACTGCACTGCAATCCCAGAGGTACATAGTTCAAATTCACCAGCTGCTCCACAGGAGAAGGACAGGCAATCTCCTCCCATGTGATATACTGACTCTGAAAACCTGCTGAAGAGTCAGCTAGGGGTCAGTTCCAACTCAAAAATAAACAATACTCACAGAAATTTTTCTACGATTTTGCTTACTTAGATTGTTTTTCTCAAGACAATAGTACATGACAGGGCAAATCAGATCTATTGTTCACAGGGTCACTGTGGGTCATAGTCACAAAGCACAGTGCAGCACACAACAACAATATATGCTTTCCTAGAGTTCATAATTGTGGGGTTAAAATGTAGAGCCACTTATTTTGTATGTATCTTTTCCAGGATTTCTTCACATATTCTTTTCTGTAAAACCTGTCTAATCTGACATAAGTCAAATCCCTGTTGTAATAATAGCAAATACAATCTCATATGTCAAGGCTTCTGAGTATTCCTTGCACAGGTCCCACAAATGGTCAATGACTACTGACTTCTGGTTAAACGACTTACTTTTTACTGGTTTATAATTCTACTAGTTTTCTAAGAATATAAAATTAACTCAAACTATAGATTCAAGTTTGAAGCATTTAGTATTACTCATATATAGAATATAAACTGGATTTAATTTTGGGGGTTATTTTTAACCAAGCAAGGAATTTCAACTTAATAATTTTTTTCTCACAAAGTATATAGAATATCAGTAAGAGTTTTGATGTTTTGGCTTGTTTTTATGTAGCATTGAGTCACCTGCGACTCATAGCAAGCTTATGTGCAATAGCTCTGAATCCTGTCCTGTCCTGAGCCAGTCTCACTGACTCCAACACACCTAATACCTAGAGGTATTAATACAACGGCTACAACAATATCTTAAGTACTGCAAAGACTGTGAGTATGACAAAGAACTGGGCAGGGTTGCATTTTGTTGGATATATGGTTGCATGAGTTGGTCCTGACTCTATGGCACCTAACAACACATCATTATCAGGGACAGGCCTCTTCCAATAACAAGTACAAAGTATCAGACTAGATCCTTCCATCTTCCAATACAAATGTCTTCATTCTTCTGGCAGTCCATGGTATATTTAGTATTCCTCGCCAACAGCATAATTCCAAGTCATAAATTCGTCTTCAGTCATTTTATTCACTATTTGCATATGAGTGTTAGGACATTTAAGGGATATTTCATAGTAGATTTTCCCATTGCACTACATCATTTGATATCTTGACTGCTGCTTCCATGGACATTGATTGTGGATCAAACTAAAATGAAATCCTTGACTATTTAAATAATTTCTCCATTTATCATGATATTGCTTACTGGTCCGTTTCTAAGGATTTTTGCTTTCTTTATGTTGCAATGAAATCAATACCAAAAGCTGTAGTCTGAGCTTCATCAATAAACGCTTCAAATCCTCTCTCCTTTCAGTAGGAAGGTTGCATCATAGACAAAATATCACTTAGTACTAACAACTCTTCCTCTAGTTCTAGTGTTATATTCTTTAGATAGTCTAGCTTCTCAAATTATTTGCTCAGCATGCAAATTTAATGTTGTTGTTACGTGCCGTCAAGTCGTTTGCGACTCATAGTGACCGTATGTACAACAGCCCTAAACTCTGCTCTGTCCTGGGCCAATCGTACTGTCTCCGACACACCCATCCCCGTTACCCTAGTCACTGAATCAATCCACCTCATAGAGGGCCTTCCCCTCCTGCGCTGTCCCTCCACCCTACCAGGCATGATGTCCCTCTCCAAGGACTGGTCCCTCCTTATAACATGTCCAAAGTATGTTAGACGGAGCCTCAGAATCCTTGCCTCCAAGGAACCGCCTGGTTTAACCCTTTCCAGGAAGAATCTCTTTGTTTTCCTAGCAGTCCATGGTATCTCAATACTCTTCTCCAGCACCACAGCTCAAAGGCATTAATTCTCCTTCTATCCTCCTTAGTCACTGTCCAATTCTCTGATGCATAACAAGTGATAGCAAAGACCATGGCCTGTATCAGACACACCTTAGTCTCCAGAGAGACACCATTGCTCTTCAGTACTTTGGAGAGGTCCCGAACAGCAGACTTTCCCATCGCAATACATCTTTTAATTTCCTGGCTACAGGTGCCAAAAGTGTTGACTGTGAAGCCAAGTAAACTAAAGCTGTGAGCAATCTCAATCTCTTCAGCATCCATCCTGATTCTGCCAATCGGCCCAGTGGTGAGAATCTTTATTTTCTTGATATTGAATCTCAATCCATAGTGAAGACTGCAGTCCCTGACCTTCCACAGCAAGTGCTTCAGGTCCTCCTCAGTTTCAGCAAGCAGGGTTGTGTCATCTGCATAGCGTAGATTGTTGATGAATCTTCCACCAATCCTGACACCACACTTCTCCTCACAGAGCCCAGCCTCTCGGATAATCTGCTCTGCTTACAGGATGAAAAGGAATGGAGACAGGACACATGCCTGGCGTACGCCCCTCCCAATATTGAACCCTGATATATGCCTTTCCTGATTTTTAAATCACATTACATAGCTCTCCTTATTTTGTTTTAATTTAATTCTGCTTATTCGGAACTTATATAAGTTCCATATAAGCAGAGTTAAATGTTCTGGAATTTTCATTGTTTACAATGTTATCCATGATTTGTTCTTATTTACATTGTTAGATGCTTTTGCATAGTCAACAAAACACCTTACATAATGTATTATATGTAAATATGAAGAGAACTCTGATGGTCGAATGGGTAAAGAATTGCACTGCCATTCCAAAGAGAGGTAGTTCTAATCCACCAGTAGCTTTGTGGGAGAAAAATGAACAGTTTCTTCCAATTTACAGTCTCTGGAAAACCACTGGCAGAATAGCTATAAGCTGGTCCCAACAGGATGGTACAAACAAGAATAATTTACATATTTATAGCACTTGCCACCTGAAAATACCATTTCCTCTGTCTCCACCTCCCCTTCTGACTCATAGTAGAGGTTTTAATCCAGACTAACATTTTACCTAATACTACCACCTCTGCTTAGTACAAAAAATGTGGCTCAATGATATTGGAATGAGGGAAAGAAAAAATTCTCATGTCAAAAATATATTAATAAGTACCTTGAACCAGCTTGATTCCAAAGGAGACACAAAGATGTCTGGGGAATAATTCTAGGCTCAGCAGCAGAAATCCTGTAGATAACCTCATTATTGTCAGTCAGAGGTTGTGAACTTTGACCTTTCACACTCAATGCTAATACCTGTAATGTCACAAAGAACAGAGAATGCATAGATACTGTCTAGTTAGCATCATCATTGAATCTCCCACTCAGGTTATTTTTTTTATTTCTCTGATGCATTCAGTCACTTGTTTACTACTGTGACTCATATCTGGCTTTATAAAGGCTGGGTCTCTAAATTTCTATGAAAGACATTCCACCTCTGATTCAGTTGCTGAACAGTCTTCGGCTGACCCATCTCAAAATGACTATAATTGGTTGATTGTATTATAGTTGTCAACCATAATATATTATCATCTTTTATTAGTAAAAGCTATATATATTTTTCACTTTTATATTTTTTTCACTCAATAAAACATGAAGGGAAATACTTCCACAAGTTTTGATGCTAAACATTCTATAAATAGCTCATAAAGATAGCCTCTTTTTCATAAATAACTCCCCATAAATAGCATGATGTGATTACACAAATACATGCTGAGGAGTGTTTGTGAGGGAAGAGAAATTGGATTCCAACCACATAATGTAATAGTACATTACCTTATTTTTCAGGGCAGGTAGCTTGCTGTCAGTTATAAACCACTGCTGACTGCTGTACTCAGTGAACTGGACTAATTTACATGTACTCTTCCCAGTCATTTCTGCATCGGAGACATCCAATAACTTCTCAGGAATTCTAATAAAATCACCTTCCTTTCCTTCAAATTTGTGCCCATTGATTTGCTGAGGATACCAGTGAAGAGCCAGTATTGACAAATATGGACAACTGTCAAAGACAGTTTTACTTCTAAAACAGAAAAACAAGACCGCTGCTAAAATAATATGCAGTAAATTCACGTATATCTATTTACAGTTGTTAAGTTGCATTTAGCTGGCATTCTAGTCTTTATAACAGTCTCAGTGACAGGATAAGACCAGAAGCAGTAGATGGCATGCATTTTTCAGTTCTTTTATGGTTAAATGTCATGAGTTTACACATGTCTTTCTGCATCTTCCTGTTGGATGTTCCTGTAATCAAAACATAGAGTTGTTGTTTATTTAAAGCTGTTTCACGGATATCAGATACAATCTGTGACCGAAGAAGGTGCTTTCTTGGGTTGTTTGCATCAACAATTATCAGACTAGGCTGCAGAAAGGGCATGTCCACTGAAGTGAAACTTTCTGCAGTATTTAACAATAGCATGAACCTTATATTTCAGGAACCATGTTTCCTTTCAAGGTCTGCCTCATTCCTTCCTAACTCCTCAAAGCATAGCTAATCAAAACAATGGGAAGAGAAACAGCCCTAAAAAAAGTTATTTTCAGTCATTTAACAGGTCTGTTCTGAAGATCTCATAGACACAAGGGCCTGTGTTTCGTGAAGTGATTTCCAAATCTGTACGCTGCAATGAGAAGTTTGTTTAGAAACACAAATTTCTGGACAAATATCACTCACACTCATTAAATTAGAATCTCTGTGGCAAGGGGTTGTGCTATCAACTCAAAGTCATGGTCAAAGGCACCAATTCTCTGCAGAAGATGAATAATCTCGTCCTGTGTGATTTACTGCCTCTGAAAATCTGTCAGAAAGTCAGCTATCGGTTGCTTCCAACTTGCTCAGAAAAAGATGCGGGAGTCTAGGAATCTGTATTTTTCATGTGTCCGATAAAATATCTAGCTGCTGAAACCAAGTTGCTTCTTGGAGACAAAGATTTTGAGACTCCATCGCTCATATTTTGGTCATGTAGCCAGGAGAGACTAGTCTTTGGAGAAGGATATTATGCTGGGAAGGGTCGAGGGACAGCACAGGAGAGGAGGAATTCAGATAAGATTGACACAATAACTGGGGTAATGAGAGTAGGTGTGCCAGTGAGATTAGCTCAGGATAGAGCAGGGTTCAGAGATATTTTGCATAAGGTCACTATGAGTCGGAAGCAACTTGATGGCACACAGCAACAACAATAATATAATATCTAATATAATGTTTGTTGACTCAGTAGGTTTGAGAATCATGAGATCATGCAAGGAGGACAAAGTCCTCACTTCAAATCTAAAATAAGATTTGTTCCCTAAAGTCTATCCGAAAAACATACTATTAAGTTAATGTTGTTGTTGTTAAGTGCCATCAAGTCGTAGATGACTCATAGCGACCTTATGAATGAAAGACCTGAACACTTGTATAACTTTGATCATTTCTCCATGTTCACAGAGTTTCCAGAGGCAAGCCATTTTGGAAGTGGATGCCACTCCTGCTTCTTGCATTAAAAAATGAAAGTTATATAAAATATGAGAGATTGTTGTTGTTATTGTTGTTGTTGTTGATTGCCTTTGAGTCAAGCATGACTCATAGCAATTGCATAAACAAAAGGCCTGAAGCTTTTCTATAACTATCGACAGTTTTCAAAGTTCATAGAGTTTCCACATGGTTCCAAAGTGTATCTTGTCAAGATCCTTCCTCTGAATAATGGAGTGCAGAATTTTAAATGGATGATTTAGTAAAGAAAAAGTCTAACTTCTTTAACTACATACCATCTCTAAAAAACTTCTTGTCCACAATTTTAACTATTACAATTAAATCAATACCTTAAAATGCCTATCTTTAATCCCATGACTCATCCATGGCTCTGGAACCCAGTATGAAAGCCAGCCTCTCCAAAGAACATCTCTATCAGCATGGACCACAGGCAAGTCTACTTCAACCTGTCAAAATTCAGTTTTTTATCTTCCCATCTGATTTTCCATATCTTCACTGGTGACTGCCAACTAGAAGATACTGCTGCAGATCCTCTATGTGGGTACCACTAGTGAGCCTCAGTCATGTGTTCACACAGACTTGTCTCTGCTCCCCCAAAATCTATCAAGACTTAGTCTACTCAGTGCCATCATGGGGATCTTCGGAAAATCAAGACAAATGCCACAAACAAAGGGATTCTATTCAACCTAATCATCCCAAGTGTATTATCTTCTGGCCTTTCTTACTAATAAGTGCATTTTTTCTGACACTTTAACCACCTGTATTCGTGCCCTTCCATAATCCATCTCAAATCCCAGCTGAAGTAAGGTGTGAAAGAACCCAAACATTAACATGTATGTTGGCACCACTATTTGGTGACCAGTCTCAGTTCTTAAAGCCAACTGACTTTAAACAAAAAAAACCAAAAAACAAAACTTGCCTAGCTCCCCTCTTTCTGTTTCTAAGTGACTGATCTAGACTTTTATTCTTCTTAATCTCCATGTTCAACTCTTAATCCTCATTCTCAGCAAATGAATTGTGATCAATATCTCTAGAGATTTTTTTAAAATTAGTCTTTATTTCCTGTGTTCACTTTGTCATTCTATCACTTTATTTTCAAGGGAGCTCTGGTGGCTTAGTGGTAATAAATTGTTCTGCAATCCCAAAGGCACACACACAGTTTGAATCCGCTAGCTGCACCACAGGAGAAAGATAGGCAGTTTCCTTGAGTGTGACTAACTGCCTCAGAAAGCATGCCGGAGGGTCAGCTATGGGTCACTTCCAACTCGATGATATACAACTTCAACCTAGTGGTAAGAAGGTGCACTGCAATCCTAAAGGCATATGGTTCAAATCCACCAGTTATTCTGTGGGAGAGGATGGACCATTTACCATTAAACTGCCTCTGAAAACCCACTGGAGGGTCAGCTATGGATCAGTTCTGACTTGACCCACAACAACAACACATTCATATTCAAGGTGTTACCCTCTCTCTCTCTTTCTCTGTCCCTCCTGCCTTAGTTATCGCCCTCATTTTCTTTACCTAAAAAACTATCCCTTATGTTTCTATCTACTGTAGTCTTCCTACGTACTGTTTTGTTCTTTAACCATTAACGCTGTCTTGAAAATGATTTCTCTAAATTCTTGAGTCTGATTTTTACACACACACACACACACACACACACTCTTTGTTTAATAGCTTTCCTTGGTAGGTCAGCATGTAAAAACCTAAAGGTGTTTAAGCCCAACATTTTAAATATAGACTATAAGTCCTATAGAGCCTTGTCCTTGTCTACTTTATTGCTTTCCCATCACTCTATTACCACATGAATTACAGTTAGACATTATGGAGTCCATGATCTGCCCAAGTGCTACCTACTATACCTGGCCTGACTTTCATTGTACTTATTGTTTCTTCTTTCTGGTCAACTCAGAAGGAAAGGTAAGGTTATGGAGAAAAGCTCATGACAGAGGACATAGTGACTTATTTATTCATTGTGATGAGTCATTTATTCCATACCGCTGAGACTCTGCCATACACCAATAAGTAATGTTTCTTAATGGTCTATGTATCTATTTGTTCTGTTATGTATACAGTTATTACGAGTCAGAGGTGACTTTTCTGTGCCTAAAAATGACATGGGATAAAACAGTGTTCAGAACTGCGGTTCATAGGGTCGACACCCAACAGCAATACAGCAACTATCTATCTATTTATCTATCTATCTATCTATCTATCTATCTATCATCTATCCATCCATCCATCCATCCATCCAATCATACATAGTGGCCTCAATAAAAATTTACTTCAGAAAATTTATCCACTTTGGATATTTCTGAAGACAATATTAAGACATAAAAGTTGCTGGGGCACTGAACTACTGCAAACCTTTAGTCTCGGGAGGACACCCAGGAGCAGTGAGGAGAACTGAAGTAGTCTCTTCAAAGAATAAGCATGGTGTTTTGATATTTTGCTGACACTCCTCCTTGAGGAAATCTCAGTGACTCCTACTCATTCATTAAGATTAAGAGTAATCAATAGAGGAGTGTTAGTTGTGCAATTTACCTGCAAGTTACACCCGGGTATGGACCGGGACTGAAAGCTGAAATGTGTCACGGATTTCAGTATGGATGTTTTGTTACAGTCAATGTGAGTGCAGTTTCTTCTGCTCACATGGTGCAGTGAACAACAAGGCCTAAACCAAACAGACCTAAGATTGAGTTCTAGCCTACCTGTGGACTAACCACTACATGGCTGGTCAGAGAAGCGTCTCAACCTCTAATCCTAATGAACTATCTTAAAAAGTCATTGCATGTAACAATGAATGAATGGAAATCCAAAATCTCTGTAAATAGTCATTAAAATAAATAAATAAAGTCATTGCAAGGCTAAAATAGCATATAACTTTTAGTAAGGATTAGAGAAAGCCATATAAAATTGCAAATATTATGTTTCTCATTTTTAAAAAGCAATTTCAAGTGGTTTAATCTAATAAAATGTCAAAACTATTGTGGAGGTAGAGTTAATGTATCTTATGTTCTAAGTGTCTTTTGAGCCAGGAACTAATGTTAAAAGAATTACATATTTGACTAATTTTAATAAGCTTGTAACAATTTCATAAAGGACCCCTAAATAAAGAGATCATTCAAATTATTATACTAGATTTTTAAAATTATTATATCAGACTTTTAAATGTCTTTTCCAAAATGGCTGTGTATTTTACTATGGCTTTAATGCACACTGATGAGAGCAATCGTTAAAAGAATACATAATTAACTCAATCGAGATTTATATAAACACTCTTAACCACAGGCTTTCTACAAAATAATAGCCACTGATTTTTAAGTAAAATATGTTATTCTGTTAGAATTAAAGGGAGGAGAAAGAAAGTGAGGGAATTTCTACTTACATCCATGTTCTATTATCAACCATTTTTATTTTAAATCAAAAAGAAACACCTTTATTCGTTGAATTGCAATGATCCAATTTACTTTCTGAATATCATTTCTAACACAATGGCCTCTAAAGAATATTAAGACAGAAAATTAATTATATAGTTAATAATGGGAATTAACTGCATTTTCTTTTTTCTTCTCACTTCGCTAGATTTTTGCCATGAAACTCTAGTATGAAGTCATGAATATGAAAATTAATAAGATCTGAGAGCTATCTCCAAACTGATAAACTAAAATTAACAATCAATCAAAAAGTTATAAAGGTTGGGATGACCTTTCATTTTCTTATATTCAGAATATATCTTCTATTTATTATAGAAATAAGAGTAAACAATAACATTTTTACTTTTAAAAAATAAAAATAAAATAAGAATATGTTGTTGACAGTGTAAATGCATTTTTTTCTTGTAGAGATTTCTTCATATAATTTCATTTGCCCAAGAAGTACAACGCATCTACTGTATACTGTGTAATTCGTAATTAAACGGAAGTGTCGATTTACATTATACATTGCATTTCAACCGGTAAAAATGTGTAAGTACAAGAAACCATTAATATGTTAAAATAAACTTACTTTTCACCAGGAGAGCCACAGGTAACATCAGTCAGCAGAGAAAAGGCAAAATTCTCAGTCACTTCAGTAAAGTGACTGAATCCTCTGGTATCCTTGCGCTTTGGGTTGACAAGAGCACAAAGAATTTCATAGACGAGATTCCGGCTTTCGATACTAAATGCTTGGTTTTTTCCTTCAACAATTATCTGGGGAAAAATCAATATTAAAATACATCATCTTCAAAAATAAGCTTATGTCTTCTTTATTGATAGTCATTAAGAGTTGCACTTACTTAAAAGGCACACATATTTATTAATAAGGAAAAATGTGACCACAAATATAGTTCTCATTTATTCACTAGAAATAAATCTTAGATGGCTACTTGAGTCACTTCTTTTTCACCAAAAAACTAATGTCAAAATTAAAACAAATCTTACTTTTATGCATACCCTAATGATTCTATGTAAATAGTTTAAAATGTTAATTTTCATT